AACCCAACCCAGATCAGCTCGGCTCGGCTCGGATCGGATGGACTCAACCCAACCAAAACCAATATTTAAACGTAGCGCTCCATGAATTATCATCGCCATCAACCACATCGTCATCGTCATCATCATCATCATCTTTAGCATCATCATGGTGATCATCGTCATCTTTTTTTGGGCCGCTTTCAACATGGCCATCAATTCTGATTTACCTAAAGTGTTAATTAGCCAACTGAAATGTTGAGAACGAAAAAAAAAAAAAATTGGCTTGATATATTTATATTCCCAGCAATATTTTCTTTTCTTCTGATTCGTCTTTGCTGCTCCAAACAATAATTCTTGTGGATAAGACGAGAAAAAAAGAAACGAGCTGACCTAACAAGATTCAAATTAACTAATTGATTGACGTTTCGCTTGGTAAGCAAAATGTGATAAGGTCTATAAATAGAGGAGGACTTCAGCTTCACTTGCCATTGGTCTCTTCTTCTTTCTAGTGTTTTTGAACTGTCATAAATAAGGTTCGTGATGTCTATATATAGGTTTCTGTTGCAATCGAATTTCCGTTCCCGGATTCGAATGGCACGAGTTCAAAGCGTAATAAATTTAAATTGTTCATAATAAGAAGATTTAGAGATTCAACTAAAGAAGATAAGATATGGATTTTAAAAGTGATTCGCAAATTTAATATTTAGAAATAGAGAGTTTTGCAATAGATCTATCCATAGAGGAACTGTGACACGCTCCTTGAGGAGGAAGAGAGTCCTTAAATGTAAACAGAAAAGATAAGAGAAATATAAACAAATGGATCTACATTTTTTATTTATAATATGATTAAAATTAATTTCACATTTTTACATATTTTGAGTCTTATTCAACAAAGAAAATTAAAAACGAAAAAATATTAATCAAAAAATTTATTTATTATCATATTTTATTTTGCCATATACAATTTTAATTTATTATGAGTTAAATAAACTATAGGTAACTGCTTAAATTTAAATAATACTTTGTATATTCATTTCCTAAATTTCTCATTAATATTGAATATGGAACAGTGAAATTATATTTTATGCATAGAAAAATAAATCGAAATTTTTATATATTATATATTTTGTATATTTTTATATATATAATATTTTGTTGCAGAAAAGAATTTAAATATATTTTTTATTAATCTTGATAATTAAATTGAAATAATATTACAGCTGCATAAAATGCTTTCAAATATATTTAATAGTATTTTATATACTTTAAGTATGCAAATAAAACAAAGCCTTATGTATGTGTATTCGAATAGGTTTAAGAGTTTTAATAAATATGTATTATTTATAAGCCTAATCTAAACACAAATAATTTTTTTTATAATATATTTTTTGGAATACAATTAAAATTTTAAATTTTCGAATAAAATTCTGGCCAATTATTAAATATATATTTTGGAAATATTCATAAATATACCATACATGAAAAGTATTGAATAAATCTATAAATATTTAATTTAATGTAGAAATTTGTATATAACTTAAACGAGTAATTTAATAATTAAGTTTAGTAATTAATATTTGCAGAAAATCTCTTGCATACACATATTCGTCTCACAAGTCTCAAAATCTAAATAACATTAGACAAATATAAAATGTAAAAAAATGGTTATTTGAATATTTGTTTTTAACAAGTTTTTCCCGACATTTAACACTTTTATATACGTAGCATAGAGTCTCTAAATCTTATGCGCCCCTCACTCAGAAGTTATCCATGCCTTGGCCTTTCCTTGGACTGTCTTTAAACTTGCTCGAGTTGCTGCCGTTGGAAGTAGTTTTGGAGGCACTGTAGCTGTCCCATTCATAGTTCGAGCGGCGGTGTTAATTGCTAAGGGCTCAGTCCCCGAAGTGCCGCGGTGCTGCAGTGCTGCAGTGTCGCGCATAGCATTGTTGTCGCCCCATAATTGTTGTCGTCAGCCGTCGCTGACTGCCGCTGACTGCTGTCTGTCAGCTGTCCATCAAAGCGTTGCCAAGTTGGTGTTAATGGGCGCCTAGAATGCAATTGCGCAGCTCCCCATTTCTCTCTCGCTCTCTCTGGTGCATCTGGTGCAGCTTGTTGAACACGCTGTGCTACGCATGTTTTTGCTTGTTTTTTGTTGTCCTTCGGGGATTACGCGTCAAGTTTCGAGTAATTGCCCACGTTCACTTTGTTTTTATTATTGTTTGTGGTTTGGTTTTTTTGCCTTGCATTTCATTTATTTTTGGATATGCTTAACTATAAGTGTATATATATATATAGATTTATATACGAAGCAGCCACACACCGACAGCCAAGTCGCCCTCCTCTCAGCAGCAGTGAAAGCTAAGCAGTCGCTCCTAACTCGTTCCAGGCGTCTGTATCTCATTGCCCAGCGCGGAGAGCTCCTTGAGGAACTGCCGCGCATTGGTCAGCGTGGAAGCGCCGTAGATGATGCGCCTGTGCACATTGGACGTTTGCTTCTGCTTGATGAAGTCGACCAGATTCTGATACTCAATGTAATTGCCGCCGCCAACCATGAAGACGACTGCGTCCTGGAATGGTGCGCGATTCTTGGGCAGCACATCGCCGCCCTTCAGCAGCTTCGGATCCAAGTAGAGATAGTCGTCGGTCTCCGCATTGCTGCGACATTCCATCACTTGCTCCGTGATCTTGGTAACAGGTAAATTCTGAACGGGAAAGCAGTATTTATAGTTCTCATAGTTAATCCACTCTCTCCCTCTCTTTCATATAGATACTTACGTGCCGCTTGACCACCAGGTTCTTGACGCCCTCCATGACAAAGGAGCTGCCCTGCGAGACGAGCTTGGTGAACATGGAAACGGTGCGCGTGCCGCCGCCCTCGTACTGCGTGGCCTGGCTAATGCTGGGCGATCGATTCATTATGGACTTCCAGCGCTGCACGTACGCCAAGGCGGTCAGGTCACAGCCAGCGGCTTGGAGTGCTTCGCGTAGGCGCTCCGCCTCCGACTCGGGCAGCTGCTGTGCGCATATATAGTAGATAATGTACAGCCGCAACTTGTCCTCCGGCTGGCCGAACTCGCTGTCGCGCAACAGCTCGAGCAGCGGCTTATCGAGCGTCTGCTTCGACATGATCTTCTCCTCGATCTCGAAATAGGAATCCAGGCGGCGCGCTTTGATGCAGTTCAGAATCGCTGTGGCGATCTTCGTGTGCATGTCGATCAGACGTTTCTTCTCCATTAGCTGCGGCAGCGAATTGACGGCGCTGGTCAGCAGCGCAGTTGTGTCATTGACCAGCGAGAAGGCAATCTCCGATTCGCCCTCGATGCCCATCGAGGTCTTGAGCCGTTTGATCTCCTCCTCGGAGTTGCGATAGGATTCCAGTTCCTCCTGTATGGCCTCTGCCACAGTGGGAAACGGGCTGCCCTTGTGCGTGACCCAGAAGCGATCGTTGCGATCCAGATCGCAGGCCTTGGGCTTCTTGCGAGCTCCTAAAAGCGAAAGGGAGATGAAATTGGCAAACACTCTAGTCAAAGATTAGTTAAATACTTGCCCGCACTGGCGGCCGAATCGTCCTCCACATAAACCAAATTCAAGCCAAGATCAAGCACATCGTGCACGAGCGCCTGGTAGGACCAAGTGTGATGCAGAGGCGTGGCCAGATCCATATTCCTGTCGAGCAGCAGCAGCACGGGACGCTGAAAGCTGAACACTCCGCCGCCGGCTTGGGTGGCATCCATGTGAAACAGATTGGCGCGCGCGTCCCAGAGATTCTCGCGCAGCTTCTTCTCCAGCTTGCGAGCGACCATCTCGGCAGCGCTGTTCCTTGGACACCGGATGATCGGCACGTTGCCCAGCGTGACGAATAGCGCAAAGAGCGAGTCCACTATTGAGTCCATCAGCGCCTCCATCTCCTCGTCGCGCGTGTTGGCTCGATTGATGGCATAGTAGGAGAGCTGATCGCTCTGCTGGTGCTTCAGTATGAAGAAGTCGTCCTCCAGGCTGATGAAGTTCACGTACTGGTCGTAGACCCGATGGATGTTGGCCACGCAGCCGGCATGCAGTGCGGCTGCTGCTAGGTTTTCGATTTTACTGCGTGTGATGGGCGCCAGGAAATTCAGGTGATAAATGTCGTAGAGGCCATTGGAGAAGTCCTGCTGAATCCGGTCGAGATTCTCGTCCGTGGGCAGGCAGAAGTACACGGCAGGCACATCCGGTATAGAGTCGCGATCCGAGTGAAGTTGCCTGCAAGCGAATTAAGTCATTTAGGGTGTCATCTATTTAGCCATGCCCCCGTGACCCCTGACCCATTCCAATCCGCTTACTCACACATGCAAAGTCACGCCCAGTTCTCGCAGCTCCTTTATAGATATAATTGGCGATATTATGTCCTGGCCCACTCGATCGTAGATGAGTATCTTCCACACGGGCTCCGCGGCCAAGACTTTCGGCTGCTGCGAATTTAAATTAAGCATTTGCTTAATTGCATCTGTGAAAACGAAGTCAGAAGAGTGAAAACGAGCTCGTAGGCTCTGTTCATGGGTGGAATTACGCACTTATTTGCCGCTCTCGCAGGGTCAGCATGTTGTTTGTGTCTAGAAAGATAAATGCCCACGTATAAAATATAATTTAATTAAGTAAAGTATGTTTAAATAACATAATTTACAAAATACAACACGTCACAAGCGTTTAAAACGCGTTTTTGGACTAATTTAGTGCATTACAACGAAAACAGCTGTTGACTGAGAAATTGTGGCGGTCGCACAATAAATTTCGAAAGCAACGCTGTACAAACAAAGTGCACCTGAAACAGCTGTTCGGTCCAATCATATATAAATGTGTGGAGCACTGCAAAGTAATTCTATTATAAATTAATTCATATATAGCAATTTTATGAATTGCGAAAATAACAATAAAACCCAATAAATGCAGTGAAATATCTTCGCTCTTACTATGTTAAAGAATTGGCTTTAACAGCACTGTTAACTAGTTCGCTCACATTCGGAACTACTCTCGTGCTATGTTATTGTCGGCTGAGCTGTTGTTATTTTGCGTCGAACTTTCGAAGTGAGCGGACGTGTGTATGCGGCGTGAGAAGAAAATCGTCGCGTATTTGGCAGCAACGAAAACAATAATCAAAGTGAATCCGACTGTGAGTGGGTGTGTGTTTTAGTGTTTAGTGCTAGCCGCAATGATTGTGTCGAAGAAATCAAGGGCTCGGCATGTAAAATCCACGACTTGGCAAATGGCGCATCGAAGTGTGCTCAACCTGTGCCGCATAACGGGCCGTCGACGCTGCGGCAGACGTGCGGTCAGTTGTTATCATTTCTTCAGGCACAGCCGCGGCTTCTTCTGGTTCATTCTCTGCAATTTATTGCTCACGCCAAACAACAGTGACGCCCAGCTGCTGATAAATGTACAAAACCAGGTATGATACATAAGTGCTCTTAAATTGCTTAATTGTCTTTTTAATTTGTTTAAAAGCAATGTGAATGTCAAAATGGCGCTGACTGCGCTGCTAGCGTTGCTGCTGTTTTTCGAACACTCAAATTCGAAATTGAGCGCGTCAAAACAAGAGAACGTCAATGGGAGAGAGAGAGGAAGAGAGAGCGAGAGCACGTTAGCAAACATTTGTTGTTATTCATCAGCTGCGATTTGTGTGCGCTTTGTTTTTTTGTTTTTTTGTCTTGTGAACTAATTAAAACTTGTAATTGATGACAGTCGATGCTCGTCCCACCCATTTGTTAAATACGCCCAGCTGCCCTTGAACTTATTTTCCCTTCCTCTTTTTGATTTAATATGGCTGTCATTAGCGCAACTCACTTTGACAGTTTTCACTTTTCGTTTTGGTTTATTTTCGTAGCATTTGTGTTTGCACGTGGCTTACATGGCATCATAATATTGACATTTGCTTTAGCTTTTCTATAAATTTTATATTACCTTTGCCAAAAACTCGCGTAAAACAAAGCCCCTGCATGTGTGTGCGTGTGTGTATGAAAGAGAGCGCGCTCTTGTGCCGTATATTTTTTTTTTTTTTTTTTGTTTATATGTGACATCCTTTAACATTGCTGGCTGCTGGCGTGTTTTTGTTGTTGCTGTCCCTGGCCCCAAAATGTCCGACTCTGTCTCTGTCGACGTCGCTGCTGACGTCGCTGTTACAGCTACTGCTCTCAGTGTGAGCTTTGTTTACATTCGCTTTGTTCAAACTCACAAAGGCAATGCATACACAAACAGACCACAGTACACACATACACACGCACACTCACAACACCCGCTTACAATCTCTCACTCATGTGTATATGTGTGTGTGTATGTATTCACGCGCAGACCCAGCTGAACTTTTCGGCATTCGCAATTTGAATGTTATTTGCATTATTCTCGGTGTGTAAATGTCAGGCATACTAGAAATAAAGTTGAATGGGAATAATAGAGTGTATATCTTTGTAAATAGATGCAGTTTATAAGCAACTTAATATTGAATGTGGACAAAGATATAGTAATTCTAAATTAGAAAGTTTCTAAATTGTCAGTTGAGTACGTATTAATTTGACATATACATACTTTTTTAGTTCCAATAATACTCAACTCATTCGAAGCAAAATTCTGGCAGATGCAGAGAACTTTGAATAGGTTAAGGATATAAAATTGAAGAAATTATTTAATTCAATTTTGTTTAATATTTTAGCAATGAAAGTATTACTATAAATGTATATACATACTTGTATTAAAATCGAGAGTTATAATTCAAGGGAGAATTAAGAAAGAAATTTAACAGTAGCTCATTTTGTTTTCTTTGCCATGACATTTGCTGTTGGTCTTGCTGGGGTGCGCGACTGTAAGGACGATTCTGTCGTGTATGAATTGTAGCTGTAGTTGTTGCTGTTGTTGTAGCTGTACTAGTTGCTGTTTATTCTAGTTGTCATGTTGTTGAACTACATTTGGTGACGAGCGGCAGCCTCTAGAGTCGCATTCACAACAATTCCTCATCTCGCCTTGCATTTTCACTGTATTTTCTGCTCAACTCTCTTGACTCTAATTTGGTTCAGGGACGCGGCTCAGATGCTGCTGCTGCTGCTGCTGCTGTTGTTGTTGCTGCTGCTGCTGCTGCTGCTACTTTGGCTCGCAGTTAATTTGACTTCTGGCAGCAATGTCTTGGGTTTCCCTTCTGTTCTCGCACTCTCGCTCTGTCGTTTCTCTTTCGCTCTATTAATATTCTAGTTTCGTGTCCAGAGTCTAGTTAACATCTAGTTGCCATTGCACTTGTTGCTTCTTTGACTGAGTCGCCTTTGTCTTCTCCCCTTGCAGGGTGGCGAAGTGATACAGGAGAGCATTACGTCCAATATTGGCGAGGATTTGATTACCCTGGAGTTTCAGAAGACAGACGGCACTCTCATCACGCAGCTCATCGACTTTCGCAATGTAAGTAGCAGCAGTAAGAGAGAGAAAATGAAAATGGAAATGGCAATCGAAATGGACAACAATGACAACAACAACAACAACAACTGCGTTCTCTATTTGCAGGAGGTTCAAATCCTCAAGGCTTTGGTGCTGGGCGAGGAGGAGCGCGGCCAGAGCCAGTATCAGGTGATGTGCTTCGCCACAAAATTCAACAAGGGCGACTTCATCTCCTCGGACGCCATGGCGAAGCTGCGCCAGAAGAATCCACACACGATTCGCACGCCCGAGGAGGACAAAGGTCGCGAGACCTACACGATGAGCGGCTGGGTCCAGCTGAACCGCTCGCTGCCCATCACACGGCACCTGCAGACGCTGTGCGCCGAGGCCACCGATGCCACCTACGTGCGGGACGTGGACCTGAAGGCGTGGGCGGAGCTGCCAGGTGAGCGGAAGTCGAGATAATTATTATTTGATTAGCAGAAATATGAAAAGCAAAGCAAATCTCGCGCTTGTGCAAGTTTTCAATTATTTCTTGATTAACTCTGCACGAGTGGAGCCACAGAATTTGTAGCATTTACAGTGAAGATTCATTGAGCTGTAACGGGGCTGCTAAACAGAGATTAAGATTGCTTTACTCAAAGGGATAATTCGATATATAAAGTTTGTTTTACTGAATTCTTTTCAATTTGGCCTCTTCAGTCTAATGCATTAAGGAAAAGATTCTCTTTAGTCTGCTTTTACTGTATATAGGAAGCTTCGCACCTGCATGGTGAAAAGTTATTTTAAATTGCATGCAAATGTTGCTAACGAGAGTTTTTGTTGTTTTTTATTTGGGAATTTTGGATATCAGGGTATACTCATTGAAAATGAGACTTCAGGGTATAGTTTTTTGTAAGAATTTTCGTAACAGATAACACTGATGATTACAATGGAGAGCTATATATCCCATTAATCATCAGAAGCATCTATATATTGTATTTGGAATCTCCTATCTATGTCAAAAGGCGTTTAAAATGAGATAGGATGAGTTATTGAAAAAACGGAAAATAAATTCTTAGTGGGCAGGGGTCACAGAAATATTGAATTAAAATTTCCAGTCTCTAGTTTTTTTGGTTTACAAGATTGATGCGTTCATGCTGCTGTACAGCTAATGTCAAATAGTGCAGACTCTTGCTTGGAAATAGATTTGATTAGGAATGTTTTATTTTTATACCATAAAGGAATAATAGAATGATTAAAGTAGTAGCTCCACTTAGTGTTTAGGGTATCTCCTAGTCAGGCTTTTCCGATTGGAGCACTCCTGCCAATTTGAGCTTGTTTTCGCCGTTAACCAATTTTTCGTTTTGCTTATTTTTTGTTTCCATTTTGTCTGCTGTTGTCGTTGTCGCGTCGCGTCGCGTCTCGTCGTTAGGCTCCTCGATTTCGAGCCTGGAGGCAGCGACCGAAAAATTCCCGGACGCCCTTTCCACGCGCTGCAACGAGGTGAGCAGCCTGTGGGCGCCCTGCCTCTGTACGCTGGAGACCTGCATCGGCTGGTATCCGTGCGGGCTGAAGTACTGCAAGGGCAAGAGCCTGGGCAGCGACACATCCGGCGCCCAGGCGCAGCAGCAGCAGCAAACGAATTATCGCTGCGGCATCAAGACCTGCCGCAAGTGCACACAGTTCACCTATTATGTGCGACAGAAGCAGCAGTGCCTCTGGGATGAATGACGACGCGGCGAGCTGCAGATGCTGCAGATGCAGATGCAGATGCGCTGCGCCCGGCAGGCTGCGACAGCGGCGGCGGCGTGCGATGCGGCAGCAACAGAAACAACAGCAAAGACAATAACAGCAGCAACAGCAACAGCAACAAAAACTAAAGCGACAGCAACAGCAACAGCAACAACAACGACGAGCAGAGTGACAACGACCAACAAATTACGCCAACTGCTTTTGTTGGTGCAACAACAGATGCCTTTTGCACTGTGGAGCTTTCCGGTCCATCACATTTCCCATCATCATCCAGCACACACAGAGACAGAGACTCATGCTCGTGCTACAGCTTATAGCCACACTCAGGGGCATCAACAGGAGCCGCTGTCATCTCATCGTCCATCCACAATGGCCGCCAATGTGGCGTGATAATGCGCCAGCAGCTCGGACAGGGATATCCCTTAGACACATATTCACCCATCTGGCCCAGGAACTCATCCCACTTGACACTCGTTTCTCTTATTCAGCATTGTTTTCTACTCATGTATGGACTGTATATATGTAACTATATGATTAGAAATATTGCCAAGCTACACTACGCTTAACGCCGCGCCTAGGTTAGATACAACATTTATGATAATACGCAGGGCAAAACTTTGGACGAGCTGCGAAAGACAACAAACTAAAAAAAAAAAAAAATGAAACATTGCATTTTTTTGTAAAAATTTGCATTTTCATTTATCATACAATATTGTACAAACATCTATATTCATATAGAAATTTATTTATCATGTTCATAATCCTTAGCATACATCAATTTTCTTTACTGCTCTCTCGATTTGTTTCTTCAGCAAATTCTTGGTCTTAGCTCTTATCTATACACTCTTACTATACACCTGAAGCTTCGACATTTGCTAAATCTATTCATCTATCACACATATTTATCTGCAATTTTATTTCCCTAACTTCTTTAATACTTCTTTAGGCTCTTTGAATTTCTTAACTCTCTTTGCACATTTCCCTAGTCGAATTTCTATTCAATTTCCCACAAACCAATTGCTATTCATGGAATTTGTCTTCCATAAATTTTACAATCAATCTAAACACATTCTAAACAAGTTTCCTTTGGCTGGCGACTCACATTGTTCACTCCAAATAAGTTTCAAGTGTTGAAGCAAAGAAATGGAAAATGAGAGCGGAAAAATGCGAAGTTTGCCCAACTATTTGAGTGCCCAGTAAAAGTTGCATTTTATTAAAAAATCTTGTTAAAACTTCAACTTTGATTCCATATTTTTCGCCATATTCTTAAAACTTTGATTCCATAATTTACACCCTCAGCTCGAGCTCAAGTTTGAGCTTGAGCTTCGAGCAATTTTCGTAATTTCACTCTTCTTCTTTCTACTTTAGCTCAACTTGCTTTTTGTACAAATTCGTGTTCACAAAATTTGTATACATTTTATATAAGAATTTTGTTAACAAGATTTTTATATATTTTTAAATGTAGTCGTGCAATATAATTGATTGTATAAATATTTATATTTGTAGCAAAATTTCTTTATTTAATTTTTTTTCTTTTGACTTTACATTTAGAAAGTTTAAAAATTGTACATTTAAATGAATTTGATTTAAAGGCCAACAGCCTTTGTGCTCAGTAATTCCTAACATTTTGAATTTAACATTTATACGTAATTCTATCATTATTCTTCATTTTGAGCTGTTATTAACAGTCTTAGCTCTTTCCGCTGTTGATTGTCCTACATTTATGTTACCTCCATTACGTTTATCATTCACAGCTTTTACAACTACCTCATTGTAAACTCTCTCTCTCTCTTTCTCTCTCTCTTTAGTATTATATCATACCAGGTGTATATATCTGATCGTAACTCTTTAAGCATTTTCCTTTTTCCTTTATTGTGCGTACACACCTGCCTTTTTCCGCCACTTATCTTTGCGGTCTATGCTAAATAATGGCTCATTAACTTTATTTACGCAGTTCGACAAATTTGCATTGTCCTTTTCGCCCAATCTCTCGCCCTCTTCCCCTTTGTACTACCCACTCGTTTGTCATAATTAATGTGTACATAATACAAACGGTTTGTCGCTTCATTAAATGCTCGCTTTACGCATTTTCCAACTCATTCATACTATAATTTCCCTTCTTCCATGAAAAAAAAAAACTCGCAGCTCAAGAAATAATTTTAGAGTTATATATATATATATATATATATATATATATATATATATATATATATAAACTATATATATATATATAAACTAAACAAAATAAAATAAAAAGATAAAATTAAATGTGGCCTTAGCATATTTTATGAGCGCAAAAAAAAAAAAAAAAAAAAGTTTGTAAAATTCTAGGATTTCAAAATACATACACACTCACACACATATACACATACACACATACATACGAGTTGTACTGTCTGAATTGTGCTCATAACAAAAAAGGAACTTTAACTTTCTATATAAGTTTAGTTTATAACTGTTCTATATACTATATATATATATATAGGAATACTAACCACAACGACTGCCGCAAATGCTTTTTATATAGTATAAAGACGAGAAAAATAAAAAAGAAGAGAAAAACCCCAATGAAATGGCTGTTCATAATCTAAAATTTTCCAATTGACTCCTTTCTCCTCTAGACTTTTTCCATTTAGAACGCCCTGCCTTTAACTCGAAAAATTTATTCTTATTAATTTCGTATATAAAAAAACCTAATTAATTAATATACCTAAACAAAATTACAAACAATACCAAGAACAATAATCTATTGTAAAGTTTCCAAACACTAGTCTACTTAGAAATGTTAGAATGGCTATTTTCCTAAAAGCATACTATAAAAACCAAATTGAAAATATATTGAAACAAATTGTACACAAAATTAAAAAAAAAAAAAAAAATCCAACTTCAGCAAAAAATAAAAAATGAAGCAAAAAGAAATGGTGATAATAATTTTTTCTATGAAAACGAAAAAACTCTTCTCAACTGCAATGTAAAGTAAACAAAAACTATAAATGTAAATAAAAAAATTAGTTCTAATAAATAGTTTATATGAAACAAATTAATGCTGATTCGTATAAATAACGAAAAGAATGCAAGCGAAGAGAATAAATAATCGATTACACGATCTAGTGCTAAGGACAAGCATTAATTTAGTCATAAATAAAGCAGCTGACAAATTCTACGTTTTATACAAAAACTAACAATGTTTTTTAATTGAAATTTGTTTAACAGTCGCTGGTAAGTGGGCTTGAACCAATTGAGATTTACAAGCAGAACCAATTGAGGAAACTCGCTTTGCCGAGTTTTTACATTCATCTATCTCAACAGCTGAGGATCTCAACAAGTGAGGCGCAAGCAGTTTGTCTGCCAGTGTTGTCAACTGCTGCGAAGGAAAAGCTACATAGCTGGAAAACGAGTTTCTATAAAAAAAGGCTAGAGTAATATGTGAGGGAGTAGAGAGGTAAACAAACAGTTTGTGGATGCCAAACGGTAAGACTTTTTTATATTTTATAAAATTGTATAGCTTATGGATATATAAATAGGTATGTGGACATGCCGAAGGCCCCAGTTGTCAATGCTTGATTGTTATTTTTTTATTTTATACTAATTATAAACTCAAATAAATAAACTATATAAACTATGCATCAAGTCGAGAGTCCTCAGATCTTTAGACCTGTCTGAATCTTAGCTGCCTTCGCTATTATTTTATAGCTGAAAGAAGACAAATGAAAATAAATAGCTCAGTAACATAACTCATAACAAAACCATTTTTATCAATTATTGAAATAACTTAGGGGAAAAAAAAAGCTAAATTTGTCTTTGGTAAAAATCTCAGCATTGGCTCGAATTGGCAGCACTGCTCAGTTTCATTGTAATTCCCAGCTTCAACCGCTGCCAGGCTCTGCTGCCTGTACGCCCGTGCAAACAAGATGCATCCTGCTGTGGTTGTTGTTGCTGCTGCTGCAGTGGAGTCGTCCTCTTGAGCCAGTGGCAAATCCTTTATGCGATTTGTAATTCATGAGCAGCGCGCACACAGATTCTTATCATTTATTTTGCAGCGCAAATCGGTATCGAGTGCCACACACACACACATGCACACAGAATATATATATATATATATATATGTAGTCTTGACTATAACTATATTCATGGTAGCGCTGGGAGGTCGTCGCGACGTGCGGAAACCAAATCGGCGTCGTAGAAAATTGAATTTGCTGCCAGCAGGGAGTCCAAGAGGCAGCAGCAGCGCGAGGGAGTGGCCCATCTCTTCGGGTAGGGGTAGGGGGGACGGGCTGTACTGGCTCGGCCAAGCGTATTGGGCTTTTGTGCTCTTGACGCGGCCTGCAAACGTATGTGCATGCCTAATGAGCCATGAAATGCCAGCCACGGCGTCCTTTCTCCAAATTCTATTTCCCTTTTATGCCTTCTTTCGCTTCTTTTTTCTGTCGGTGGGTAATCAGCGACAGCTGGTCAACACTTGACGCGATTGACCCTTAGATACGCATACAGGCATGCCCATGTACATATACATACATACATACATACATACATATATAAATATAGATTATATATGTATGTATGCATGTCTATGTACGTATACTCGCCGAGGGCTATGTAATTACAGCGTTGAGGGCTGCTGGCGCGTAAATCAAACAAAATCAACTCGACTCGCAATGCTCTTAATTAAGTTTACACTCTCGCAATTCGATTTTCTTAGCGTGCGCATTGGCGTGAGGGCAGCCGTTGGAAGTGAAGATTGAACAGTAGTCAGGGCGACCAGACGACAGGCGACAAATGTGGCAAAGTCGTTGTTGAAAAGTTGACTTATTGAGTGTTGATTGCCTACTGTTGATTGCGGTCATCATTGTCATTGTCATTGTCATTGTGATTGTGATTGTGATTGTGATTGTGATTGTGATTGTGTCATTGTCATTGTCATTGTCATTGTCATTGTCATTGTCATTGTCATTGTCAT